CACGTTCTCAACCCCATGAGCGCAGTTCAATTTACGATAGTCACAGAAATAATGCTTAAGAGGAGCAACAGACGTACACGTGCACAAATATTATGCCGCCTATCTTCTATACAATCTTGTCAAATACTAATGTACATAAATGAACAGAATGACGTGAACGCTACCTTAAATGAAGTGCACAATACACGTCAGCTCAATGGACTCCAGAACACCATGCTCCAAAAAAGGGTGGCGTTCGCAAACATACCGTTTACTCTAATACAGCATCTTCACTCAGCTACATTACCCTTCAGCAGCGTGCCGTTAGGCCTAAAAAGTGGTTCACTCCCAGGTGCATATAACACTAATTGGGAGATTACTAATGGGGAACGTACGGTTGACCACAATCCTTTTTTATGGTATCCGGTATCCACCACGCTAACCGTCAACCAATTCCAGGAAATGCTTCGCGACCGAGCGACAACCCAATTGCTTCAATTGTTTCTAAATGTGCATATGCCAGCCACGACTACTTTTAGGTTCCAGCTAGAGTAAATAAATTCATCTTCACTCGTAGTTTATAGTGAACTGCAGCAGATCCCGGGAATATAGTATAATCTCCTGGACTAAGAAATGGTCTTCTACTCTTCCGTATCAAAGCAGGTTCTATCGTCAATAAAATGCACATGCTTCAACCCCTTGCTGTTCTTCTTTATGCTCATTGCTGAAACTTAATGCATTGACGAAACATTAGATACCTTTATTCAAATACCATGCTAGTACCTAATTCGTAAAAGTCGTGCAATAGGTAAAAGTGGAAGCTGTTCCATGTACGTTCGACAAGACTTCTGGGTCGAGGAAGTGACCGATTCCCAACTATGCTCAGTCGCTGATTCTGTTTATATAAGGAGATCGTTTAATAATTTAGACCTCCTGGAGTTTTGCGGTTACAATACACCACCTTTTAAGCACATCACACTGGTTAACCTTGAGATAGGTTTCCAGTGTGCAGCAACACACTATCCCACAAGGAAGATTATGGCCAGGGGCTACAACATGCCACGAGTGTCGTGGGCATCACTCGCTTGTCCTCAAAAATACGCAGACTTCCTAACAAGTGTCGGTTTGCATACCTGGATACAAGTTAGCTGTGCACACTTATTAACAATCGCTTGTGCGGTAATGTATCAGAGCTAAGTAAATTTCCTGATAGTGAACATCTTTGAAAGCTGTATAGCATCGTTTCGGATCCATCGAATTTCCTTAATACTATATCGCTCGCTACGATATGTTGACTGGTCTCAATGATACAAGCTGCGCCGATCCCTCAGCTGGGATAGTTGTTTCCTGACCAGAAATGTCGAAGAGTTTGCGTCGGAGCTTCTGACGCATTTTTAAACATGCATGCACATACTCGCGCCTTTCAAACGGATGCAAACGTCCATGAGCCGTAACACCAGAAGACTATCACCAAGAACATGTTGTCAGCCACACAAACTTAGGGATAGGTTAACACGACAGGCCACTTTCCATTATTATGCATACTAAGTCTTTGCAAGGAAGTCACGACAGAAAAGAGATTACGACGTAGCCGAAAAGAGGCTGGCGATTTCCAACTGCCGCAAAGTATTCGCGCTCAGACAATTGCTACAGTCAACAAAACAGGGGCATACCGACAGAATCCCCATGTCAGTTAGGCACAAGGAGGTAAATATCACCGGACCGCTTTGTATATGTGAAGCCTTCAGTAAATATGTTGCTTCCTCACTCATTAGTGAGCCTGAGCTTGTCGATGTCAGATGAATGGAACAGAATGCACGTCGTCGGAAGTAATTATAACACTCCAAGAGGTGAATCTAATCTCAAATCAGTTGGGCCTTCTACCATTGCAGGACCGGACGGTGGTTCTCCAGCGGCACTAACGCATGGCGGCGAAGATGGCCCCTTTTTACTTTTTAACATGTCGAGTCATTATCCAAAACGTAGCCAAGTTCCGCCCCAGTGAAAACCTTTTTTCATCATTCCATGACACAAAAGCGGTGCAAGAGACGCAAAGGGTAACTGTCGCCCCATTAAGCACGCTTCCATCATATCTAGGATATTTGAAGAAATTATCAAAAAGTCGCTAGTTGAATATCTTCTAACACATGGAATCCTAAGTGGTCAACAACACAAATTCATGAGTAGTAGGTTACGTAATACCTGTCAGTTGAATTTTATGGATTACGTAACCTCGACTGTAGACGCCAAAACATCGGTACTGGTGATCTTCCTCGATATACACGAAGCCTTCGAATGTGCACCACACAAGCGGCTTCTGTTGAAACTTAAATCATTCGGTAACCGCGACTCACTGCTGGCTTGGTTTACTTCCTTTTTGGAGGAGTGGACACAGACTGTTTAAATATATAAGAAAATGTCGCAAACACGTGCAAAAACGAGTGGAGTTCTGTAAGGCAGCGTCCTTGGTCCCAATCTGTTCCTCATCTATACAAACGATGTTTTCTATAAAGTTAAATATGAGAAGCCATTTAATTTTGCGGATGATACGAAAACCGTCTATACGTTTCCATCTGAATATTTGCAGATAGTTATCAAAGCCACTCAAATAGACCTGAATTCCTTTGAGCTGTTGCCGAATGAATGATTAATTAAATTCCCCGCGTACAAGTCTCGTGTCCTATATCACCGATGTAGCACCCCACTAAGCGGTAAAATTCTAAAAAGGAAACCAATCCACACCACTCAAGCCATCCGGGACATTGGAGTAAGCTATAGTAACTTAGTAAAGTTCTCAAGTCGAATTAACAAAGGCAAGACGCGCCTTAGGTTTAATCAACGACTCAATAATCTTGCCCAAAGCCAAGCTTGCTCTTCACTGGATTTGCACATGCCCACTTTTGGAGTAGTGCCCAGTTATTCTCATGCGCAAGAGTGATTTACTATCACCAAAGCGTTTGCAGCGGAAATGCACTAGAAGTCTTATGACTGAATTGTCGTTAGCAACATATCACGATAGATGTAAGCCACTGAGCATCAATGCTCTTTGGCTACGAGGAGCAAAAATGAACTTCATTTTCTTTCACAAACTGACAGGCCACCTCAGCTTCAGCTAAAGTATTCAGTTGAGGTTTAAGGAGGATGAAGACTACAATTTAAGAAAGAGAAAATTTGTTATTCCTCAGAAAGTCCAATTCGCAAGAATATTTGCGTGGTTCGATATTTCTTTATATGGAACCAACTGTCACCCTCAGTAAGAGCAAGTCAATCTATAGGTCGAATCAAAACTGAGATAAAGCATTTTCTACTCTTACCGAATGCAGCTAAACTGTATGAAAGACGATCGAGGAGCTAGGTTTTCAAGGACTAGAAAACAATAAAAATAGGAAGCGCAACCTATATGGCACACTTTCCTACCCACGTTGCATTTAAAATGCAAGTTACATTGTTTAACAAGGCAACATTCATTTAGCGACAGTTTTATACAGATATGCATCAGGATCAATATCCGCCAACCGCATTTCCAAACCGATCATAACGGAAATTTTTATGTCAACTCTTTTCACTGGCTCTACACTACTAACTGTTTGCTCTTCTTCCTTGGAAGCAGGCACTTGGTTCTCTGCAACAGTTCTCATTACCTGAATTTGCGACATTTACCCCCTTTTCGATCGCTTGAAGTTCCCGGAGCTATCACAATATTCCTTTGAACCCTACTTTTGTAATGAATACCTCGGGAGGTTGCTCGCTATTTTATGTTCCTAATGCACAATTTTAATCGGACAACCGTCAGACATGAGCCATCCATCTACCGCTACTGTGCTTTCATTCCTTTTCAATACATTCTTCTCTTTCTCATGCTTCGCGACGACTGGGCCCATCTCCAAAGGTGATAATTTGAAGCTTCCAAGCTATTTAGTAGACCCACGCAAGGCGAACTGCCATATACACACTGGCGAATATAAAGGTGCATGACTCGAAACAGCTGCTTAGTGAAATGGGCTGTATGGCGACAGTGCCTAACATGCAACAGCAACCAAAAAAACAAGTAAACGTGATGATGGCATGATTGCATATAACAGAGGTCAAAAACGCTAAAGGTGATGACGGTCTAATTGCTTATATCCGCGACCAAAAAGTCGATGTGATAACGGGTCTACTTGCATATAACAACAGCCAAAAACCAGTCAGAATCATTACGAGTTCCTTGTTGTAAGCCACGTCCGCGCATGTCAGATGTGACGTGGAAGCCCGGATGAAACATTTCGAGGGATTACCCCGCCGCATGGAAACAGGTCTCCAGGCAACAGTTCCATTGATGGCCGTATTACTTTACTTGAACTGCTGGCTTTATCTACACTTATTCCCACTCTCAGACTCTCCAACTTTTACTACTTTTGAATGACAGAACACTACAAAAGCCCCATTGGGACCAATGAAAATTCGATGGTTGCCATGTACTAACTACATATTACAGTATATTGAATGGCACTTTTGCATCTACGTAGCTGCTCATGCTACATTAGCCAGCGGTTAGAGGCTTGGTGGTCACACATGTTCACTTCGTGTGACACATGGTGTCCATCCGCAGATGCGTCAACTTCTAATATCCATCAAGCAGGCCCCGGTTTTGTTTCAAGATCATCGTGCTGAATTTACTCCGATCGACGTTATTGCAGTCGATTGCAGAATGTAGGCCACCAAATTGGCTGGCTCGTTTACAGCTTTAGGCTCGCACGCAAACAGTGGGTGCCTGCTAGGTATTGCTACATGCGCTCGCAAAAACTGCGTCACGTACATGGGAAAATAGGACATTTAAGGTCAACCGAGCCAACTCCTACATCATAAAAATACCATTGACGTTGAGCACCACTGGATCTCGTCGATCAGTTTGTCTAGATGAGTACCTAATGCAGCGGCCGCATCAAAATGGTTTATGGGCATTGCTAAGGCTAGTGTGGCCTTTCCAAATTTGCAATCACTTATGGGAATGGGAACGTATTGGTTGTTGGAATAGTTTATAACACTGTGATGTGCGCTCAGAACATTGAGACTGACCGGGAACAGATTATTTTCCCTCTGCCGTGTATTTTCTTGTCACCATGACAGAAGCAATGGCCACCGGCATGGTGGACTTCTTGTCGTCAAGGTCTTCGAGTAATATCAACAGATCCGGTGTTTTGCAATACTCACGATGCGCGATCGTCACTCAAAATGCATATATAAAAAGATATAATTTGGAAAAATACATATCTAAAGCAAGGGCCAAACAGAGGAAAGGAATGAGTGTCACAAAACGACGACACTGTTGGCAATCATCGCGCGATGGACCACGTCTCAAAACACAATCAGATTGAGCAAAGTATGAGTGCGCGTCACTGCGTGTGGGTGCGGTCGTGGAAGAGAATGAACAGAAGAAAGTGTTACCATTCACAGAGACTTGTGGTGGGAATGGGATCATATGGAGCCAGAAACCACGGAAGTTCATATGGTTGACACGTGAATGTGAGGCGTGGGTGTGGAGCGACCAAGCAGTGCAAAGGAAGCGTGCATACGCACGGATTAGTGTGGGACACTTCAGTGCCATCCAAAAGCTCCTCGAACATGTGGGGAGTTGGAGCAGAAAGCCGGCATTTCACTAGCCCTCCAATGGAGCAAAGTCTGGTGCATGGAAGCGGCGAAATGGAGGGAACAGTAATAGTTGGAACGGAAGCAAGCGTGATTACGATAATAAGTCACGAAAAGAGTTCCAGAATGATTGGATGACCAGTATTCTTCCTGGTCGTGAATTAAAAAAGTAGCAACATTACGGGGTTTGTGACATATTTTGGAGTGCGGTGTGAACTTCTTGCACAAGACGTCGGCGTTTCTCCTCTTCCGAAGCCGGAACGATGGAACGGAGAGAGTCCACGATGTTCCTCGTCGTGCCAAAATAGACTTCATTCAAATTAGAACGGATGGAGTTCTCCGCGTCCTAAGATATAAGTAGAGTAAACAGTGGTAAAACATAACGAATGGAGAACTCCGGGTTCATAAACAATATGTCGGAGTCAAGCGGTAGGTGTCAGTGCCAAGGGATAAGTGCCAGTAAAAGCAAACTGTGAGAGAAAAAGTGAAGTTGAGCGCGCAATACGAAGCGCGTTGTACAGTTGAAACGATAGTCTTATTTGTGGAGGCAGCAGGCAAAAAGGTAAAAGTATAATCCGGTGTATCTGTTGCCTGTTGTATTACCGTGCTCCTAGGTCGAGCAAGAAGGAAAATGAATAAGATGTTCCGTGGCACGACCTGAGCTAGTTCGATGACGTTATAGGCACTGCTGCTATGAAGACGAATCGAAAGTATTGACAGTGATATGCTGTTATGTGTGTGCGCATCGTAACAAGCCTTAGTTGGTCTAGTATGTTAGTTATACTATTAGCTGTGGCTCTCACAAGTACTATTCTGTCCTGTGTATGTCGATCGGCTGCGTCACATCGGTTCAGTGGACTGGGCGTGCGAGAGCATAACTTCAGCGAATCTCCACCATTACCCAGAAAATTTGCGCGGTAGGCTGAGTCTACATGGTTCATTGAAATCATTGGCTGTTCGTGTGGATGGTCATGGCAATCTGGACACTCGATTCCAGAGCACTGACGATCCGCGGCAGGCTTCGTAAAAGTGGCAGCCTGATCTGATGTTGTGCAATAGTCCCAGGGGGCATTAGATTGTGAAGCTTTGTGTGAGAGAGGGGCATCAGTAGTACGCCGGTACTCTGTGCAGACGCTCCGCTGCCATGCAACCAGAAACGGTCGCGCGTGGGCTGAGTAAACCGCGAGGTAGCCCGCATCTACGCGGATTCGAGCCGGTGACCTCCGGAGTACAAGGCAAGCGCGTAACCCTTTCGGCCACCGACCCACTCTGTGCGAAGGTCAGGTGACCGTTAACCGACCGAGATGCGGGTTAACAGCCTTGGTCATTCGTCTCATTTCTATACTGCCGCGTGCGTCCATAGGCTCAACACGGAGTGGTGAAGCATACTAAGGAGGTCACCAGTGAAACGTAAAGTAGAGAGAATAAAAGACATTGGTGGGCAAGCGCTATAGGCAACATTGGAATTAGTACCCTCGGATCTGCATTTCAGCAGAAACTGCACTGTTGTCTCTGCGTTTGCACGTGCCTGACGTGTATTCAAACGCGCTAGGTCAGCATTGTGAATACACAAAAGCTATCCTGATTGACAACACTCCTTTGGTTGGTAGACAGGGATAAGCTTAGACAGTGCTAAGAGCGGCGCAGTGTGTAGTTCTCTCAAGAGCAAGATCAAGGACGGACTTCATTGCAGAAAAGAGTACGGCCTAGCAACCAATTTTTGTACATCTATCAGGCATGTTTACATTTAGATAATACTGTTTGTTGCCTGTGGGAACCGATCAAAGATAAGCATAAATGATTGGTAACAACGTGTATTATCCCTGAACGTGGCCTCGATGCCCCACAGGCACATCTTCCTGTGGGTGTTCGCAGTGTTGAGGAAATGTGGGCAGGTTCCGAAACAGCTGGGTTCACACTGAACGCTGGGCGAATGTAGGAAAATATTTGTGGTACATTGCAAAGTAACTAGAATCTCCAGATAGGAAGAGGTGTTCAGTTATCGTTCATTATCAGACAAGGGTGAATCTGGAAACAGATGCGTCAATCAAGCGGACATAAATGGCCACAAGGTAGGTGACAGAGGCGTGACTGATGCGCTAACCGACCATATGATGTCCGATCAGAGCCATAGTGGAATGCCAGTCGTTTAGACGCGCTATTGATTAGGGATGACACTAGCGATGATGCTACATAAGGTGAAAATATAAATTTAGCTGATACAGCTTTTTCGGTGTGTTGTGAGCCAGAGAACAGCGCGTGGCGTGGTGAATAGTCGCAAGATTCCTGAGGAGGTAAACAACTCAGTTTACTTAGCGCGACAGATTAACTTGCTAAGAAGTAATGTTCAACTTCCTCGTTGTAAATATAGTGTTGCCGCAATACGCGGGCAATGTTTCAAGAAACATCACTGCTGTGGGTCGGGAGCCGATATACGTCACCCATATGAATCAACCAAGACTCCTTATCCGGAGGATAACAACATATAAAGAGTAGTGTTGTAAATCATGCTGTTTGAAGAGAAAGGTCGTGGCGAATGCTCAAAATTGGAAGACGCTTATCAATAACAAGGGGCTTTTTACGAAAGCACCACTGTCACAACCACAGCTCCTAGGCACATGATACTCTCAAAAGTGACCAAAAAGCGGTTGAGTCTTAGTGCGGTACGGGTACTTCATAATCAGACACTGTAAGAGGTGCAACAAACAGAGATGACTCAGAGATTTACAGTGATCAGCCAATCGTAGTCACAAAGACGTCACCGGGAAAGCAGCTTTAATGTAAGCAAAGTTGGTTTCGCGATCAGCTAAGAAAGGCTGTGCCATGAACCGGAGGCAGCCGCTAATGACTGTGACCGAACAGGACAGATTTTAGATCATGAAGGGAACAGGAAAAGCTCACAACGATGATGCAGGAAGATACAGTGTAGTGGGCCAGTTGCTCTACGATTGCGTCAAGTGCAGAAGTACGAGTTATCAGCGTCATACTACTAGGTCCAAAAGTAAGTGTACTGACTTCCTATGTAATACTATACCAGTTCCCGGCCAAGTTGTCCTTTTGGGCAACAGAAATAATCTGAGGGGGCGTTCAACATGAGTCTACTCAATTAATTTCTTCCGTGCGTACGCCAGTCACTTGTGCAGGTGTGTAGGTGGGTGCGTATAGCACGTCGCCTTCAGCCAATTGGACCTCAGACGCATTAAATCACAGGGGTGCAAGTGGGACTCTTCATCTCCTACGCACGGAACAAATTAATTGAGTAGACTCACGTTGAATGCCCTCCCAGATTATTTCTGTTGCCCAAGAGGACAACTTGGCCGGGAAATGGTGTAGACAAAGTAACACCTCAGTGGTGGATATCAGCGCATCGGTAAAGATCTTAGCTGTATATCTAGACTTGTTTCAACTCAATCGGCTGATTCAATCCGGCGCCACAGTAGTCTGTGTAAGGTCGCGTGTTAATACTTCGTTACGTTTGCGGTGGATCAAAATGTCGAACAACGGTATGCTATCAAATTTGTGTGAAACTCAAGTAGTCTGCCACCAAGACATTTGAAAAGTTAGCAGAAGCTTACAAAGATGTCAATCTATGGAGGAATTTAGTTTTTTTAGGTGGCATAAAAATTTCACAGACTATCGAGAAAATGTTAAAACGAACCTCGTTCCGGAAGGCCAATCTTGTCAACAATAGATCACAGTGTGGAAGTTGTGCGAGCTGTGCTGGCGAAAACGATGACTGTCATTTCTTCGACAGCCGTAGAGTGTGCACAAAGAATTTATACCTCCAGGACAGACAGTTATTCAGGTCCTCTAAAGCGGTGTATTGGAACGACTACGAAATAGAGTCCAAGGAGTCGAAACGGATATTGGCGATGACTAGGTGTTGCCCCACGATAACGCGCTGGCTCACACAGCGCTTTTATTTCAATAGTTTTGACGAAGAAAAACATCCCCACATTACTACAACCTTTCTACAGCCGTAACCGAGCTCCATGCGATTTCTACCTAATATCTAAGTCGAAAGATCATCATCATGGAATCGTGAAAAACATCAAAAATGGTAGCGAACGAACTTAGCATTCTTATGGCAAATGACTCTAGTGCTGACACGATTAATCGAAAAAAACACTGGAACCATTGTGTATCCTCTCATACTTGGAGGAAGATAATTTGTAATTTCAAATAGGTCCAAAATAGATTTAAATAAAAAATTAACATACTTTTTGACACAAAATAAAAACAGGTGGACAGCCGAAAACGCGTCGTCCTAAACTGTATGACAGAAGTGCCCAGTTACAGATGCACAGGATAGTATGGCTGGAACAAAAATCAGACGAACATCTCGAAGCCGTAATGAAGCGCGCAACCATGCGGGTTAATGATAAACACTGAGTTTTAAGAGCTAAATTGTCTTGTTAGGAAAGCGACTGACCCGTTCGCCGAATCAGAGTTGCGCACGACTGAATAAGGCAAGAACAATGGGACTGTCATCCAGAGCCTTGTGTTGGCTCTGTGCACGTCCGTTACCTAGGAAACCCTTCTGTTCCGTCGTGCTACCACGCGACAGTCATCAGGCAAAAGCTTAACATAGTTGATGTCAGCCTATACTGGTCATGGTGTGGTGCAACAGGAGCGAGTGGGGTGGGAACGGACCGACTGTGGACTACATCAATGAGACAGTACTGAGTAACTGTACAGAGAGGCAACAAGAAGAAGTGCTGAAGTGGCCCGTAACGAAAGTCGTGATCAGAAGCGCAACTTCTGTGGACACATTCATGGTGAAAATCAGCAGTACGCAGATGAGTGGTCAACATAATGTGTCTTGCCTGTGGGTCCAATAAACAAATTACCGCAACTCTTTAGTTTCAACAATGGATGTACGTCGTTCCCTGTCCAGGACAGTAAAATAAAATGTGGACGGAATGGAGAGAAGATGTAGCGTGAGTAGCCACAAATGAAACAAATCATTAGATACTAATCAAATAAGACCATCCGCATATAAGACGTGCGTCGATGAGCACGGAGGCATAAACTGCAGGAGATAAGATTGCTGTCGCTTAGCACAAGTAACTAGATGCGAATAAGATTTAGTCACAGAGTTCGAGGTCCAACGAAATAAAATTGAGCTAACCGGGGCGATGGGGCATATAGGGGGAGCACAAACATACTGCTCAGTAAATGCTGGGAAAGACGAGCTGTCGAATCATCAAACCTGCTGTGCGGTGAATCGGCAAACGAGTAATGTGTGAATAGCTCAGACGAGAAGGAGTCCTAGACGATTCGAAAGACGTTAAAAAGGTTGGGCCTAGAAGAAAATTATATCTGACAGCACTAGGTTAGAGGCAA